ATATTAGTTTTCAGAATTATCGATTACTTTTATTGATTTTATCGATTTTTTGTAAATTTTGACATGCGAGGCTGGGATTTTGCACAGGGGGTAATCGAGCATGCAGATTACGAATACAATATTAGTTTTCAGAATTATCGATTACTTTTATTGATTTTATCGATTTTTTGTAAATTTGAGCTAGGGGGCTGGAATTTGGCACAGGGGTGTAATCGAGCATGCTGATCACCCCCCTTGGGAATGATCAGCATGCTCGATTACCCCCCTGTGCCAACTCCCAGCCCCGTAGGTGAACTCCGCAAAAAAATCGATAAAAATCGATAAAAGTAATCGATAATCCTGAAAGCCAATATTGTATTCGGAATCCCCATGCTCGATTACCCCCCTGTGCCAACTCCCAGCCCCGTAGGTGAACTCAGCAAAAAAATCGATAAAAATCGATAAAGTCGATATCGATCGATGACGAAAAGTAGCCTATGACACCCGCCGGGGCCCGAAGTGTATGTGTGCCAAGTTTGGTCCGGATCGGTTCAAAAATGGAATTTTCTATTCGGAACATACGTACACACAGACAGACATACAGACAGACATACAGACAAACAGACATTCAGCTTTATATATAAGATTCAAGTATATTTCCAAAAGTGCTAAAAATTGGAGTTTCGTTGGATTACAAGCAAAGGTGAAGGCGTTCACCTAAATCAAACTTATCGACGCAGAACTATCGCAAAATTTTATATGTTCTCTGGTCATGAAACCTGGGCATTGTCTTGTAATCATGAATTTTCTTGTGAGCCTACCCTATCGCAAAATTATTGCCAGAGGTTGGCTCATTGAGCTTAAGAAAGTAGTAGGTAGTTGGAGATTGCTCGAGATCTGGCGCCTTCGGGAAACGAAACAACGCAGTTGAAGGCAAATTTGATGCCAACATCCCTCAATTGACTAGTGAGCGAAATCTCAAAATTTGACTTTGCGTTATAAAGTTGCGTTATAGAGTAATTCTACATGCAGGACACGGATATCGTATTCACTTTCGTAAGACTGGTTTTTGTCACTTTGAAAAAAGATTGTCGTGTAAAATGAGAGATTCGTAATTAATGTGTCGAAAAACCCCTTTAAAACCAAGTTTCAGCTGAAACTGTAACGACGTGAAACGATTCGTAAATTTTTTTTAAAGTGCACCTACTGTAACCACGCTGCCAAGTTTAGCACAATTTGCTTTATTTGTAGCCCACATCATAGTTTAAACATTGCCAAAGTCTGAGTGTACCCTTTGCAAAAAGGAAAAAGTTATGGGGAAAAGTTGTTGAACTTATGTTAGTTAACAACCTGATAAAAACATCACCAGCTTTTTTACTGTGCTTGATGTTCTTTTTCTAATCCCTTTGATCTTCATCCTTACTCTTTTTCTGTCTGAGCACCTCTGAAAAATGTACTTTTTTTCAAGAAGCCAAGAACTTTTCGAAAGTTTTTGAAGCCACCTTATGCCAAACCTGAACTTTTCTTCATGACCGTTCATAACGTGTGCTCATCGCCCTACCCTATCCTCACAAAGTGCAATAACAGAAGCGAGTGCTTGACCTCTACGAAAGACTTCACGCGCTTTTATTAGTCTGTGAGCTACAATAGGGTTGTGCGATAATTACATTTACAGTGAGCGAGCTGCTTATTGTGGCTAATGCCGCTACTGTAATTAAGGAAGCGTGCACTTGCTATCAACTGGCCTTTCACATCTTGCAATTTTGGCTTGTAAAAGTCAGGAGGGATCGAAAAGCTAAACGAGTGTTGAAACAGCATTAGGTGGGGAAGACATAATCATTATTTCCGCACAACTTTGTGAATTCGAAGACGACGAGTACTCGAAACAATAGGCCCCTGTTGTGATAAGAGCTTTGCACAAGCTTTACCTCGTGCACACAATATAACACCAGTATAGAATCTGTAACGCTTGAATTTCTCTTCCTATGTCTGCTTAACCCTTGCTGCGACAGCAGAAATTGGTAAGACCATCACAACGTTTGTAGCTTATAAAATGGCCCGTAGTGATCCCCTTCACCGCAACTGGACTGGTGCGAGCCAAAATTGGACATGGTACGCCTCATTTCGGCATCCAGTGAGCTATTGATGTCAATCCTAGACGTAAACATCTTGTGCGTTCTTAAAAAGAAATCGCTTGAATAGATTTGGTGAAATGGTGATGTGGTTAGGATTCAACACGCAAGATCATGGTTCGAGGGTAGCGGCAATTTTTGCGACATGCCGGACAATCTTTATTAGTGGCCACCATCAAATAAACATACATGAAGAAACTAGAAAGAAGGGGTTTTTAGGAGAGATGCAAAGTCTCCTGTGATATGTTTTTTCTTTGCAACAAGCGTTTTGAAAGAGGCGTGGTAAGCTGTAATGACTGTGTTTCAGTTAACAAAAAAATCAAAGAAAACCACCCTAACTTTTACTGAGCACAATAAAACAGAAAGCTCATCAGAATGTGAAGAAAGTAGCTTAGGCCAGGTATTTCCCAAACACTCTGTTTATAGTGCTTTAAAACATTAAAGCTATGTGAAAGTGCGTACAAATTTTGAAGAGAGAGGAAAGTCATGTCTTTGTTTTCCGTGGGCCACCTCAGGGTCGCTCGCCAGATAGCACGAACCACCTAAAGGCAGTGTCTCACCAAAGTTGAGGTCGCGCGGAATCTCACATATTCTATTATAGGGACCTCTAAATAGGCCATTGCAACAAGTCCTATTCAATTTGACCCCCTCCACGTTGAGAAAAAATCGCTCAAAGTGGTACGCGAAGAGCGACTTGGTACGCGCGGACGACTCCTTCGGTCTCCCCCCTTACGCGTTTAAACATGTCCCTCCACTTAGCATCCACCTCTCCTCTGTTGCTGCCACTGTGGTTGAGGCTGAACTTGGAAGGTACAACTCGTCCACGTTGCCTCCGCGGGGCCTCCAAAAACGGGGATTTTGGGAACTTCGTGCGACTTCAAGCCCACACAGTGCTAGACAGGGTCCGACAGGCTTGCAAAATGCAAAAATCTCGGCAAATAAATCTTGATGAGACACTGCCTTTAATATGGAAAAAAAGTCCTGCAATTCTCTAAACATGAGTTTTTCATTCATACATTTCCTACTCCCCTTGCGCAACATCGGTGTCCATCGTTACCGGTGCTTTGCAATGGAGTGTGTTGAGTATAAAGCTTTTTCTAGAAAAAAACTTTCCAAGCTTTCGGTAATCTAGTTTTCATTTTTAGTGATCAACTTTTATTAGTCTTTTGATGTAGACCAGGTTGTCTTAACGTTACCAGCGCTGCAAGTTAACCCTTCAGCATCAAGTACAACTTATTTTGCTTTATCCCAGATGTACAGCTTGCCCAAGTGCCACCTGTGCTGGTCCCTGGCACGTACCTGATAATAAGCTACGCCATTATAAGATATAAACAATTTCGATTTCTGAATCGAATGCGACCGATGGTGAAGCTTGAATGGTGTTTATTCACACTAGCATGCGCGCTCGGTTGTGCAACGATTTTACCAAGATAACTCATAAACAGCGCACAACATGGATTTTTTATTCAGGAATGTTAATCTACTTTTATGAAATTTGCCGTTCACTTATATACGGTAGTGAGGTAGGATGTTAAAAATAAAAAACTTTCATCTTTTAGAAAAAAAAACTTTCATCTCATCAAAAACCATCTTTTTTGTCCACCAACCTGACATCCACTTTCATAGCCCCGCTTTGACATAAGCTACGTTTCAACTTTCCTGGCAAGAAAAAACTGCATGCAATTGCAATGAAACAAGGAACTTATTAACCTTTAGAGCAAAGCTATCATATCTTACAATAAAGCGCTAAGCGTCTGTCTTTTTGTGCGTGTGTGTATGCCAGGCTGTCACGAAACTCATAGAATCAGCTGCAGCCAAGCTATCGAGCTACAATTTTGCACAACATACCGCACCAGCATATAGGTCCATCATGCGCAAGGAAGGAAAATTCTATAAGCAGGTCCTTAAAAAAACGGGTCCAAGCATCTTTTAGCGATCAAAACTATGTCGCTAATTCGACTTTTGCAAAGTCATGATTTGCCTGACATGTAGATGCACCACATGAATTCAAGCCTAGAAAGTGGTTGAAAGGCTTTTCTGCGAAAACGGTGCCAAAAAGGGGTGATCGGTAAAAAGTCTATTTGGCAAAGTTGTACCTGGAAAACTGAAAAGATTTTTGCATGTAAATGTGGCCCAAAACTACTTTTATCCTTATGACGATTGTCAAGCCAAAATAATTTCAGTAATCCATTCGAATTCGCAATTGTTCCTTTGCAAAAAAGTTTGCTTTCTCAAAATTACCGAAATCACACATGGCTATGCCTCAAGACTTAACAGTTGTTTACAATTCATTTGTGATATTCAGCATCGCGCAGTGAGTTTCATAGTCATCATTATGTGAGCACGAGAAAGGCATACAGATAACAGAGCCAGTGCGAACCACCGCAGAACGGAGGTGACGCACTGATTTAAAAATAAGTTTTGGAATGAAATGCAGTTGTTGATGCGAACGTCCTTTTGCTGTCAAGACAGTTGAATTGTAGAACGGCATAAACCTACGTTTCCCTGGGCATACTTCACGCGTTTCAGTTGCGCGATGCGATTTGGCAATAACAAAAATGTTTACAACTCACTGTTAGCGCATTTTGAATAAAAAGGAATAGAGCACTTAATCAATCCACAAGAGTTGCACATACTTCGATTTTGTAGTCCGCAAGCGTTGAATTCGAAAACATTTGGAATAATGCCAGATCGAATGGCGATTAAAATGGCGTGAAGTACGCCCGGAGCCATGTACAAACCATATCAGCGGCTTTTTTGCCTGGAATAAAAGATATTACTTCTCTATGTAACGCGAATATGAAGATCACAAACCTCATAGGTTTAAATTATTAAGAATATGAAAAAACTTGACGTAAGCAAGAACGGTTAAGATATGAGCGTTTCCAGATGTGTGATTGCATGAAAGTGTTTTGTGAATGTGCGATGTCTACTGGAGTGCTTTACTGCGTTCTCCTTACCGTGAGTTGAACCTGTTAGGCAATTCATGGCTTCATCATGGTCCCATCAGTTTCTGATCATTCCCAACCTTGCCCAGTGGCATCCAAGTCCAGTTCCAAGAGATCCGTGCAATAGTTGGTATTTTCCTGGAAATTTCCCAAACGAGTGGATTCCTGCTTTCAAAGAAAAAATATTGCAGATGTGCGGCGTGAATGTGGTGAGCTTTTAAATTCACAAATTGTTTTTGGTGTTAATCAGCTTTTTGTTGCAATGCAATTTCATGCTGAAACCGGGTTCGCTGTTTGCTTCCCATTCAGGGCCCGGCACGAGGTCGGCAAATGACAAGATGGAAATCGTTTTGGGGCTAAAAAGCAAAGGGGAAATCGTTTTTGCGGGGTCCGGGGCGGAGCACCGAAAAAAAATTGGTAGTTCATGCTCGCTACTTATCTTAACATGTTATGTGCCTCAACAGGCGAACACTGGAGTTCGCGCGCGTCAAACCGCGCCGTCGCTAATTGCCGCACGCGCGACGTCGCCCAAGCGATGCTATTTGTAACAGCATACATGACTAGTTCTCAATGTATGTGCAACGATATGACACCAAATTTTGTATGCGAACGGAAAGAGGCTAGTGGAAACATAGTATGAAAAATTATGAAAAACTTATGTGAACGGAACGAGTAATTAGCATTTTTTCCGAGAATTTCGCAAAACTTGTAAATGAAGATGTGAATTCAAACGGCTCGTTTAAAGCGCAGATGAACGATATGGTATGAAACTTGGTAAGTACATGCACACAGGCTTGCAGGGCTTAACTGAGGAGTTTCGTTGAAAAATTATGTGACTGAAGGTTGTGGCAAACTTTTTTCTGAAAATTTTGCGCTACCAAAGAAATGGAAAAATGGCTCGTTTGCAACGCAGAGGTAACGAAATCGCGCGAGACTTAGTGTGTATACGCGCAGTACGACTAAGGAACAATGCATGAATAATTATGAAAAACTTATGTGAATGGAGAGCGTGCTTAACTTTGTTCCACCTTAGGTGGGCAATTGCCTACCTGAGGTGGGCAAAACTTTCAATTCACATAGTTTTTTCAAAATTTTCACATAAATCTGTTGTGCACCTAAAGTTTAATATATGGTGAGATTTTGGTTCCCAAACTCTTCCTCTTGTCCTTGTTAGAGCCCAAAATCGCATCAGCAGCCTAGCTTTCTAAGGCTGCGTTCATACTGATTCCCATGTTCTGGAACTGTTCCCGCACAGTTCCCGCACAGTTCCCGCACAGTTTCAGCACAGTGCGAGAACTGTGCGGGGACAGTTCCAGAACATGGGAATCAGTATGAACGCAGCCTAAGATGGAAAGCGCGCCCCAGTCAATCGATACGCGCGGGAACGGCGTCTCTCATTCCTATGACTGCGTTTCTTTGATATTTTCTCATTCATTAATCATTTTTCTTGCTTATTTTTCTTCGTGTTTCTTATCTTGATACAGCTGAGGAGTAAGTTGAGGAATTTGAGCAATTTGGGCGCTTTTGAGCGCTTTTAGGCGAAGTGTGGCCATTTATCTCGTCGCACAAGCACAAAACGTCATTTTTGGGGGGTAAGGGGGTATTCGTAAAATTTATTGGGATCAAAGGGGAATTCGTTTTGGAAAACCCCGTTTGCCCACCTCGTGCCGGGCCCTGTTCCCATTTATTTTCGAAGATACATCAGACTCGGTTGTGAAACAGCAATATTCATATCACCTTCCAGCAATACAACTGCTATTTGCAATCTACCGCACATAAATATGCAGTAATGGGACCTCATGGGACAGCCAATTATATCCAGTACAATATGAGGAATCAAAACCTGAGGTAATTCATAGAACATTGACTCATATCTATATTGTTCATATTGTTGTAAACTTCAGCAAAAAGTACTTCGTTGAAAATGGAACAGAAGCAGCTAATGAATCCATTGGAAATTGGTTCAAAAATAAACAAGATTGTATGGTAAGTTATGCTTGGTACAATAAGTGTGATAGTGGAGATTAAACTTGACCAACTAACTATGCAATAAGAAATCGGCCGCAACTTCTTATGTTAGATACATATGCTAATTGTGCATCATCTCATCACCACAGCAAAAAGAATTACTGAATTGCTTACTGAATTGTTTTATTCGAAGGTATTTACAAGTTCTCTTTTTAAAATGTACTTTCGATCGAGAGAATGTCACATTTACTTCTTAGATAGCTTTTTGGATTTTCTTCTCGAATGAGTTTTTATAACCAGTCAGAATTGACGATCTTGTTTCTTGAATCAACGTTCGCGGACGCTAAAACACCATGAAGAAGTGCTGGCTTAATCATGCTGTCCAGCGAGTTTGAACACCAAAATTACAACAATCACGATGACTACAACAGCTAAAAGCGCATTATCAACGGTAGAAACCTCCGGCATTTGAACGCAAAATCACAAATCTGACGACCTTTGAATAAGTTTTCGAGCCCACCTACATATTTCAAAATTTTGACACGGTATGACCAACACTTTCAGCATTGAGTAAACAATTACACTATAACTGGCGTTATTCTCGCACGGGAAATTCTTGTATATGTGTGTTCCAAATCTCAAATAAGCTTCGTTAATCCTAGCAGATCACACGGCACCCTTCATGATTCGCGGCAAAAAAGTATTTTTATCGGGGTTTGCAACATGTGCATCGCATATCTATATTCAGGTCGGACAGGGCTCATTTTTTTGTTATATAAGACTATCTGTTTAGGTAAATTGGGCGCACGGTAAGCATTTCGTTTTTACCAATTTTTAAGTTTTCTCTATGATGCAGATTACTCTCAAAAAGAAAGATGGTCTTTTGAAACTGTTTCTGTTACAATCTCTCGAGAAGGCCCTACTAGCAAACAAGTCCAATCTTACCTCAATATGACACGAATCTTCTGCGCTCAACTAATAAGATTTTGTTTGCGACAGTTCGACAACCGCGCATCATCCGTTTTTTAGGTATTACCTGTAAATATGACGGATTTTGGATGCTCAGACATGTCTTATTATCCGGGACTTATGCTCACGCGTATTCGTACCTAGTCTGTGAGTTCGACAGTATGCCTAACGTCAGCGAACAAGTGATCAATATGAACGCCTACTGCAACGACTAGTCAGTTCGTACTTCTTATCAAAGAAGAAATTTGATATTGGTGTATAAGGCTAGTTTACCCAGGATTGCCAATAATAATTTTTTTTAAAGGGCACAACCAGGGACGAGGAGACTTAGCATTTCAATTCGCTATCATGCCAGCTGTTCATCCGTATGCTATAATCTCATTTCGTCAGTTTCGTCGTACTGTTCGTCTCGTTCCTCTCGTTTCTCCTGTAAGTTTGTGACTATATGTTCAAAAAGATCTTATTGAGTATCGTTTTTGTAAATGGCAAATAAATAATTACAATGAGCAAGAATGAAAGAAATTGGAAATCAGCGCGAAGAGCATAGCCCTAATAGTTAGTTATGAATATTATTCAAAATTGGGAGAGATAGTCACTCTCCTTGTCAGTAGTTCGTTTTTAAGAAGAAGTTTTCCAGGAAAAAGCAGAGAACCGCGCATTTGCAAACACCTCTCAAAATACCGCGTTATCGGAAACAACAGAACACCGTCTCCTATCTAGAAGATTAGAGAACACGCCTGTGAGGACTCGACTAACATGCATTGTTTGTTTATTATAACACATAATTTTGGTACTGTTGCAGCACAACTTCTATTACTGTAATAGTCACTATATTTTAAACGCCTTTTGTTCCTTCGAATTCTTGCCGCTGTGCATTTATAGCTTCCCTTGGTGCGCCCTCATACTTCGCCAGTACTCAATTTTCCGTAGGTGGAAAACATTTTTTGCCCAGGACTTTTTTTTCTTCTCAAGATGAATGCACCTCTAAAATTCCAAGCCAGATTTTTCAAAATGGCTTCAGTCGCCTGAAGAATTGCGGCTATACTCCATACAAGCGTTAATTAGTTTGGCATTCAGAAATATAAGGTATAGCTCTGATTACGCCTGCTGTAACCAGAGCAATTTTATGAATTTATGTTTCACTGCCAAATGCTCAACCGTTTTCCTTTTTCTATTTGACCGTTCCATAGGGTCCAAACTACCATTTCAAGAGGCGCATAGTTCAGAGCATAGTCCATTAAATTTATCACTTCGATCAAAATCATGCTAACACATCTCTAAACGCGCGTGCTTTTTCGGTATACAAAGCTTTCAGAGTCAGGGAACACTTTCCTTCTTAAAGCTTCTCTATTAAACGACCAAAAAATCTTCCTTCTGAAGATTTTCCTATCTTCTCCAAGAAACTACTATAATCACTCATGTTTTCTTTGTGGATGTGCAAACATCCTAAGCGCAAAGTTCTAAATTCTTTTGAGTCTTTATTGCATCAGCTCTCCTTGCCTGCACTAGCTAAGTCTTCCCTTTACTTCATATTGCATGGGATTTTCTTGCCAAAGTATCCAGTTGTCACGATTCTCAAAGCCTTTCCTTTGCTAAACCTTTGTCAATGTTCGCGTACTTTTTTTTGTTAACAGCTAGTTTTCCAAAAAAACAATATTTCTAACTTCCAAGTTCTCTCTTTGTAGCTCGGCATTGTTAATTGGTGTTATTATGTGAGTAAGCCGACCGCGGATAGTAGACGTTTATTGTTAGTGGCGGTCTGACGTTTCAACATGGAATACCTAATACTAATAAGCCATGATAGTGGCACTCGAGGACCGCATTCAACATCCACCTGAACGGAAGCTGTGGAGGAGGCCTCTGAAGAAAACGAACAACTTAAGATATCTTTTAATTTTGTTCTTTAATTTTGTTCAAGAAGTAGCAGCAGGGCTCGGCACGAGCTGGCACCAGGAAACTTAAAACGGAGTCCCGTTTGATCTTAAAATCTCGTACGAAATCCGCTTTGACCTGTCTTAAAGACCCGTCATTATTTTTGAATTGTGTAAAATAGGGTAGTACGGTTTTCATGCATTCTGATTTCATGGAACAACTTTTCAGAGCTTTCTGAGCTTTTTAAGTGGTTAAATCACATCTTGAAAAGCAGAAAAAGCCGATTTTTCGACTATGAAGCAGACCGAGTAATTTCCAGATGGCTATAAAACGCTGAAAAGAAAACATGAAAATGTTTCTTCTCTGTATGTAAACTTTTACAGTGTTGATACATTTTTTGTAAAAAAAAGTATGAAGGCTTATGTGAGCAAAGTGTCGGTGCCAGCTCACAAGGGAATGGTCAGAAGTCGAAGTGGCCAATCCATACAAGCTGCATACCATTCGATGCAGCATAAAATGCTGATTTCAAATCGATCTTCCATATCTGCAGAGCGCCTTTGTAGGCGAAGTGCTTTACTGCGGGAAAATCGTACACAAAAATTGCGAAATTAGGCACATTATTGCTCGTTCAGCTCAGTTCTAGGTGCTGGTCAAATGAAGTAACCTAAATGCGTGTTTTGGTCCAACACTGAGCCGAGAATGGCTTTGTACGGCCAAGTTTGCACTTTACACGCACAATTTCTTAGCAAAATAATGACATTCAACGGCTTATAATTTCGTCCACAAAAGCGCTCTGCAGATAATGAAGACAGATTCAGAGTCAGCGTTTTATGCTGCATCTAATGATATGCAGCTTGTATGGATTGGTCACTTCGACTTCTGACCATTCCCTTGTCAGATGGCACCCAGCTGGCACGGTGCCAGCTAATAAAAAAAAGAAGTTCAGCACGGCTTTCATCCACACAAGTTTTCATAAATTTTTGGGCCATAGTTCGGGTCCCCCAACGCACATGTACACACTAAATTTGGTGTCATACTATCGCGTTATTAATAAAAACAGTACCTTTGTTTGTTTGATGGACAGCATGCCGGCGACATTCAAAGCTGCTATTTTGGTCTCTCGGACCCCAAAAAAACGCTATCCCCTTTGCTTTCCGCCCTAAAAACGATACCAGCTTGACCCGATGCCAGCTGTGCCGAGCCCTGAGTAGCAGAACAGGTTTTTAATGGCTTTGCTTATGCCAGATCTTTCGGCTGGATGTCTCCTTTGGATTCTCGAAAGTAAGTGAGTTAATCACCTTTTCATCAAAAGCTAATCATAGGACGCAGCAGCACGACATACAGCACAATAAAGAGTTTCTCTAAAACTAACTACTGCTCAAATATCAGGTTGTCCCGAAAGTTCGTTCGCACCATTTTCAAAAATTCATAACTTTTCAAATTCTAGACGAATTGGCACGACCAAAACTTTGCGTAAGAGAAGAACTCATGCTTTTTGCAACTGTACCTGAATTGTTTCTTAATGTATACAAATGAAGGAGATAGAAGCTCAAAACCAAAATCACTCAAAATTTGAATTTTCGTGTAGGATCATAAAAAATCGAAAACTTGCAACAAAAATCGGAGCAGTCGATACTGTAGGTTCTTTACCAGTTCTATCTAGCAGTGCAAAGTTTGCGCCGATTGAGCGTCTCTATGAAAAGTTATGATTTTCGAGGAAGCAATACAAAAGGGCGAATTTGATTTATTTTGGCATTTTTCAGGGAAACCATAACTTTTCATGGAGACGCTCAATCAGCGCAAACTTTGCAGTGTTAGAAAGAGCTGCTGAAAGAATCTACAATATCCACTGCTCCGATTTTTGTTGCAAGTTTCCGATTTTTTATGACCTTACAAGAAAAATTCAATTTTTGAGTGATTTTGGTTTTAAGCTTCTATCTCCTTCATTTGTATATATTAACGAACATTTCAGGTACAGTTAGAAAGTGCATGAGTTCCTCTCTTACGCAAAATTTTGTTTGTGCCAATTCGTTTAGAATTTAAAAAGCTATAAATTTTTGAAAATGGTGCGAACGAACTTTCGGGACAACCTAATAAACTGAATACTACCGAAGATCGATTAAGTCTTACAGAAAAGAGACATACGATTTACTTTGAAGATGTTGCTCTTATATTCGCTCTCTCTCTCTCTAACTTTTCCGGGTTACCTAGGGTCAGCATGCTACAGTGAGTGTCAAATAGAATTGGACAGTATCATGTTACATTGCAATTATACTACATTGGACACTTGTTTTAAGGACCATTGTAATTCATATGTCCCGTTACTAGTCACATAATAAAAAAATTGTCATTTAATCAACTGCATCTGTCAAAGCAAAACTACTTCTAGAAAGTTATAAATATTGTATTCGAAATGGCCTTACAATGAAGTACTTCTTGGGTTCAAACAGCAATCACTCTGTTTTCTAGAAAAAATTGACTGATTTGCTCGTAGCTTTGATCATCTTCGATCATCCAAAGCGCCATGAAGCTGCGCTTTAGACTGGCTGTGTACAATGCGTTTGACGGGGCCGGCGCCGCGTAGTGCAGTTACACACCTGCGCGCGAGCGCTACCGTCGGCTGCAGCGTGCAGGGACCATGCCGCGCAAAGCGGCGTGGTCCTTGAATTAGCTACTTTTCTTTCTTCTTTCTTAACTTTTTCGCTGTCCTGCTTTCAAATTTATGAGCTTTTCCTGTCTGAAACGCTACTTCGGGGATCTTCCTGAGATCTCTCAAAGTATCACTGCGCGAATTGGAAGACAAAATGAGGTTTGAGGTGTAAAAGAAGATGTAATCTAAATCATTTCATCTGAGAATATTGAGAACGGCTGGTTCTCTTCCTCTTTACTAAAGGTGAGAGTGTGAGATGTAATCGTATGACGTAGAGGTTGAGAAAACAGTTTGAGTAAACAGCGCTAACGCGCTGTTCGCTCAAACCTAGACGATATACGATTATGCTCACTAAAACGGAGTCAATATAATGAATCATGACATCCGGAATCAGCCATCTGAAGATAGCCTGGATGAAATGAAAGAGGTCTTGAGAAAAAACGCTCAAAGATTTGATACCTCCTTCCTTAGCTGCGAAAAAAATCACATCCGGTACCAAGACAAATCGCATATGAGCACAGAAGCAAGAAAAACGGCAATACGCCACACAAAAAAGGAAAAGTTACAAGATACAATGATAAAATCAAGGCCCGCGATGTTGCGCGCAGCATGGTCCCCGCACGCTGCGCCTACGGTAACGCTCGCGCGTAGATGTGTGACTGCACTACGCGGCGCTGGCCTCGTTGAACGCATTGTATGCGAAGTGGGATGTGACTAAAAGTAAAAGCTTTTAAAGTTTTGTGGCGAACCTTTTTCTTGCCAATCTCCGGGTTATCGGAGTCAAAGTGTCACAAATCGTTTCTGATTTTATGAAAGTTTCCAAGATTTCCCTAACAAATCTCAGCTTTTTATCCCCACGCCTTCCTCATATGCTCCGCAAAATAGTCAACTTTTGTGTATTCTTGCCTGAGCTCTGTAAGCCAAGTCGAAATCTCTACTTACCTTTCCACCCCAAAGTTTCTATATGAAACTTCATAAATTACCAATCTCGCATTGTCACCCTCTCTAGATCTAACTCAGCCGACTTCGAGTTTCGCTCAAAAGCTGTTGTATTGAAAATGCGTCACACTTACACTTCACAGTCTAACCCAATCCGCATGAGACCAGAACTGGCACGATGCGCTTAGCAACCAAAAGTTCTGCGTCACCTTTACGATTTCTAGAAATCGCCATTTTGAGACCTGTATGTCTTCAGCTCATTTTTCTTCCATCTTTCTGGAAATGCTGTGAGCTAGCAAATGCAGCGCAAAATTTCCGCATTTCTAGCGCGGATTCCAGTCAACGTTTCACAATTGAGACAGATTGTACCTGCCAAAGTTCCTTACTCCTCCTACTTGCGAAGATCCTCAGGTGCTCTCAAACTTTTACATCTAGAAA